AAATTCACTCAATTTTATATCTCGCTCATCAATTTCTCAACAAATGATTTCTATTCAAATATGTTTGGTTGCCCTTTAATTATTGTATTCTTAAAACCAGTTTCTAAATCAGATGCCTGCTTATCTTTTAATTAATCGATATTGTGATTTTGCTAGCTTTCATTATTATCTTTTAGAGGTTAATCAGTAGTTAATTTGATTTTGGAATTTTCATAAATACTTCTCCTCGAACGATGCTTTTCTTTTTAATTATTATCATTAGACACCTATTAAATGTATTTCTAATGAGTACTTTTTTTAGACTAGTATAGGTCCTTAATAATTCTTGAATAAAACATGTTTTTACTGATACTCTTTACAAAAAAAAATCCTAAAGCAAACAAGGCGCTATAAATTCCTCCTACATCACTTAAGAGATCGAAAATGTTGAAAACCTTTCTAGTGTAAATTTCTTATTCGAAATCTAATCTCAGAAAAATTCTAACGTAGCAATCACAAGAAAATGTGACTGGATCAGCAGTTTACTAATAGAAATTTTGAACAGTAATAAATTCATAGTTTTAAGAGGGAAGTAGAGGCATGTAATTATCGCTTAACTCTGATTCACATTTTTTCAAAAATAGAGAAATAGCTTTTAGTATTTGAGGTTCTATCGGGATATAAATTCTATCTTCAATGTAGCTTTTGACTGGATTGTTAATATCATTAAAATCGAAATATTAGTTAATGTACCTCACTTAGAATCCTTGCTGATAAATAATCAATCAGATACAAATTTTACACTCTTGAGGAAGAAATTTTCAATTTAGCTTGGAGAGGCGCATTTAATATCACTGATCGAACTATTTTTGCAAGGTTTAACTCCAAGTTCAATTTAATCTAATCAGTTAGTTGTCCAGGCTCCTCCAATTTTCAAATACTCCTTTTCCTCTATGCATAATAAACCTTTTATATCCTAATATGCCGATTCATTTATATTCTTGTAGTTAAAACTTGTTTATCCACATTAAATTAATTTCAGTTCATGCTTTACTTCTATTAATTCTATTATTAACTTTTAATTGTGTAATTCTTGATTTATCTTACCGATTTATTGAGAGGATTCGTTTTTAATTCTCTAATAACTTTTATGGTTTGCATAAATACTTCCATACTTAGGGTCAATTTCCTCATATAATCCAAAGGCGACATCGAATCCTAATTAGCTATATTCAATTAACTTAATCTAATTGAATGACTTACTATAAATCGATGATAGTAGGATCATCTTTCTGTCCTTAATTGATGATATATCTAAATAATTTATATTACTAATCTATATATACTTGGCTGTCTAGTTGTCTAGCTTCACTATAACGTTATAAAAATTTTATAATTTACAAAACATTATTCTCAGTTTTACTGCAAGATAGACTAGAAGAGTTATAATGACAGTTGCTGTTGCAAAAGCACCGATTCTTGTATTAAAAGTCCTAATTTGAATTAAAGTAGAATGGTGTAATTACTTTTGGCCCTTTATTGTAAACTGAAATGGCTCACCGTACATATCAACGTTTTTAAAGCTTTTACAAAGCAATTTCATGCCTCCTGTCAGAAATTAATGTAAGGATCAAATTTTTACTTGTCTTGGATTTCAGTTTTAAGGACATAGAGTTATACTTTTTAAAATTATTATAATAGTTTATTTTATCATTATTGCTTTGACCTTTATACAATGCGGGGTTTTGGGGTTTTGGGG